CCCCCCCCCCCCCCCCCGCCTCGTCTGGCCCGCCCCGCATGAGCTCAGCGGCAAGCAGCCAAACCCTAAACCCTAAACCCTAAACCCTAAACCCTAAACCCTAAGTCTTATCAATAAGCTGAAGCCGTTAGCTGCGGTGCTTGTCCTGGACCCTAGGTGGCTCTCTTTGTCGGCCTAGTCTGGAACGGCCGGTTTCCAGAAAAGGGTTTAGGGTTTAGGGTTAAGGGTTTAGGGTTTAGGGTTTAGGGTTTGGAGCTCTGGGTGTCCTACAGGCTCCCTTCTCTGGAAGCCCCCAGGATGCTCCCAGGAAGGCGCAGCAGCGCAGCAGCCCCAGTCCAGTATCTCTGCAGCAGCAGCAGCAACAGCAGCAGCAGCAGCAAGTGCTGCAGCACCAGCAGCAGCAACGCTCAGTTGCTCCCGGGAGGAGACCAGAAGCGAAGCAGCAGCTCAAGCAGCGCCAGCAGCAAAAGCAGCAGCCGTGGCAGCAGCATCAGCCAAGCAAGCTGCTGCAGCAGCGGCAGCAGCAGCGACGACAGCCGCTGCAGCAGGCAGCCCTTCAGCAGCAGCAGCAAGCTCGCCAGGTGCAGAGACACCAGCAGCAGCAGCAGCAGCAGCAGCAGCTGGTTGAGGACAGCCTCGAATTGGTCTCTTGGCTCCGGGACACAAAACACCCTCTTGAAGGTGAGCAGAGTTTTGCTGCTGAGGTGTACGTACACCCGGTTTGCTGCTGCGGTGTACATACACCCCAGCTGGACTTGTGCAGAGGCCAGCTGCGCCCCAGTTGCTGCTGAAGCCGCAAGGCCGTCTTTGCTGCTGCTGCTGCTGCTGTTGCTGTTGCTGCTGCTGCTGCTGCTGCGGAGAATGCTTTGGGTTCTGCTCCCCGGAAGCCAACGCGCAGCGCTAGGGTTTAGGTTTTGGGGTTTAGGGTTTAGGGTTTAGGGTATTAGGCTTCAGGCGCCCTTGCTTGTAGGGTTTAGGGCGAGGGTTTGTGCTAGGGTTTAGCGATAGGGTTTAGGGTTTGTGTGTCTTCGAAGGCTTGATTGTCTCTAAGAGCAGCAGCACCCTTGGAGTGCAGCTGCTGCTGCCAGCAGCAGTGCAGCAAATGCTGCCCCCCAAGCTGTTCCTTCCAAAGCAGCTATTTGCTGCAGCGGGGGGGGCCCCCGAGGGCCCCGGAGGCCCTGGGGGCCCCCAGGGGGCCCCCGGGGGGCCCCCCGGCGCAGTGGGGGGGCCCCCGAGGCCCCTCAGCAAGGACTCAGAGGCCCTGTGGGAAAGCCTGCAGCAAGGAGACACCATTCAGCTGCAAGTCATTGGCGTCCGGCAGCAGCAGCAGCAGCAGCAGCAGCAGCAGCAGCAGGGGTGGGGGGGCGGGCTGCTGGAGCTGGTGGTGCGGCCCTTCTTGAAGAAAAAGAGTGTCTCTTCAAGTGTCTCCTCAGGGGCCCTCTGTGCCTACTTTTCGCAGCTGGAAGAAATGCATGCAGCAGCAAAAAGTGAAGAGGAGCTGCTGCAGCTGCTGTGAGCTGCACCCCAAACCCTAAACCCTAAACCCTTTTTTGGTGTTTTGCTGCTACAGCTGCTGCATTAAGGGACTGCAGCAGCCTGCATGCGCGTTGAGGTGTCTGTACACCTGGGGGCCGCAGCTCTAGCGCTGGGCGCCCCGCAGCTGCTAAACCCTAAAAAACCCTAAACCCTAAACCCTAAACCCTAGCCCCTCGTTAGAAAGCCTGTTTGCGCCTCTGCTGCTCCTCAAATTGTCTCTTTTTCTTTTCTCTTTGTGTGTCTCCAAAGGCGCAAACAAAAAGTGTCTCCTTGGCTTCACTTCTTGTCTCCCCCCACAGCCCAGTGGGTGGTCCCGGCCCTCAGGTGGGGGCGGGGGGCCCCCGGGGGCCCCCCAACCCTCTCCCGCCGGGGCCTGGGGGGCCCCCCGGGGCTCAGGGCGCCCCCCAGCAGGAGGCCCCTCCGCTGCGAGTTTGTGGGGCTGCTTTGCAGCAGGGAGGCAGCAGTGCTGCGGGTCTTGGCTGCTGACGACGAGTGGCACCCGGCGGTTAGTGGCCTGGGGGCCCCCCTGCGGGGGCCCCCCGGGGGCCCCCACAGCACC